CAATACAAACAGAGGATGTTAGCAATTTCTGTTAGGGCGGATCAGCGAGAAGCCTGCATGTGCAGGGCGTTCGGAACAACATTGACAGGGCCAGCGCTAACATGGTTCGTCAACTTACCGAATGGGGGCATCGATTCCTTTGCGGATCTGGTTAATTTGTTCACTCAGCAATTTGCAAGTAGTCGTACGTTGGAGAAGCAGACCAGCGACTTGTATCGAATAATACAGAGGCGTAACGAATCCCTACGTGACTACTTGCATCGATTTAACAAGGAGAAAGTGTCAATCCCAAGGTGTGACACACCGACAGCTATAGAGGCATTCAGGAGAGGATTGCGTGAAGACTCAGACTTATACAGGGAGCTGACAAAGTTTCCATGCAAGACGTTCGAAGACGTCCAGGCTATGACACTGGCCTTCATCCGGCTTGAGGAGGATGAGCAATCTCGTCTGCGTTCGAATGGATATGAGGGTGGACAACGGAAGGCCAGCACCTCCAAGAAGCATGACTACAGGATAGGAAAGCCCTACGCGAAGAATGAAGATCGACCTGTAGCATCAGCGACTACATGGCTTGATGATCCTAGTTTGCCACCTACCATCCCAACGTACTGCTTCAACGTCAACACAACTGGACTTATCAATGCCCTGGACAAATTGGGAGACAAAGTCCGATGGCCCAGAAAGTCAGACAGGTCCAGCGGGCGACGAGATCCCAGCAAGAGGTGTGACTTCCATGACGACATCGGACACAACACAGAGGATTGTGTCGCGTTGAGAAAAGAGGTGGCATACCTCTTAAGGAACGGCTACCTAACGGAGATCATGTCGGAGCAAACAAAGTCCATGCTGAGCAGAAGTCAGAAGTCGTCTGCAGATCACCAACGACCTCCCTCACCTACGGCACCACAAAAGGTAATCAATTTCATTAATGGTGGTTCTGACTTGTGTGGACTAACCTACTCTGCAGCAAAGAGACAAGCTCGGGAATATTCCCGAGACAAGTCATTGCAGGTGAATCAAGTCGTCCTTATTTTGAATCACATTCTATTTGCGTTCGAACTAACTATCCCATGAAGTCGATCATGAGGAAACCAGAGCTGACAGGTCGAATGATCAAATGGTCAATACAGCTGGGGGCATACGACATCAAGTATGAGCCCAGGACGGCTTTGAAATCACAGGCTCTAGCTGATTTTGTGGCGGATTTCAGTCCCAAACTACAAGTAGAAGCTGAAAAGGAGATGTGCCTATTGATTGGAGAACCACAACAACAGAAATGGATCTTGCACACCGACGGAGCCTCAAACATGCAAGGAGCCGGACTTGGAGTTGTACTGAAATCACCACAAGGGGGCAACATAGTGCAAGCCGTCAGGTGTGATTTCAAAGCGACAAACAACGAAGCAGAGTATGAGGCACTGATTTTCGGGCTAAACTTAGCTCGACACCTGGGCATAAAAATACTTGAGGTAAAATGTGATTCTCTTTTAATTATTAATCAGACTAACGGAGTGTATGCAGCTAAAGACCCGAAGATGACGGCATACCTACAAGTCGTCACCAACTTGAGCGGCTATTTTGACAACATCATTTTTGAGCAAATCCCAAGGGAGGAGAATGTTCAAGCTGATGCCTTGGCAGCAGTAGGGTCATGTCTCGGAGCGGCAAGCAGTGACAACATCCCACTTATCCACTTGACAGAGCCGGCTATCGAACGAACAGAAATGCTCAACATCATTACATCAACCACGGACAGCAACTGGATGCAACCATATATAGACTATCTCAAACATAACATCCTACCAACTGACAAAAGAGAAGCAAGGGCACTCCTATCAAAGGTAACGAAATTTTTATTAATTGATGATGTCTTGTTTAAACGTTCAAAGGCAGGACCATATCAAAGGTGTTTAGCCCCATCCGAAGCTGTCAAAGTACTTGAAAGCCTCCATGAAGGAGAGTGCGGCAACCACGCAGCAGGAAGAAGTCTGTCCAACAAAGCCCTGAGGTTTGGTTATTATTGGCCAACGATGAGACATGATGCTGTCGCATATACTCAAGCTTGCCAACCATGCCAAAGACATGCACCAGTACACCACCAACATGCAGAAGCACTACATCCTGTCCTGTCCCCATGGCCCTTCATGAAGTGGGGTATGGACATCGTAGGAAAGCTACCCGAAGCACCAGGACAGAAAGTCTATATGTTGGCAATGACTGACTACTTCTCAAAGTGGATCGAGACTGAGCCCTTTCGACAAATCCGCGACACCCAGGTAATATCTTTCATTAAAAGAAATATATTAAGCAGGTTCGGAATCCCGTCAGAAATCGTCTGCGACAACGGATCGCAATTCATCAGCATCAAAACCAGACGATTTTGTGAAAAGTACAACATCAGACTGGAGATGTCGACGCCCCGCTATCCACAATCAAATGGACAGGCCGAGTCCAGCAACAAAATTATCATTTCAAATCTGAAGAAGAGATTGGAGAAGGCACAAGGAAGATGGGCTGAAGAATTGCCACTCATATTATGGGCAGATCAGACAACACCAAAAAATGCCACAGGACAGACGCCTTTTTCGTTGGTGTACGGATGCGAAGCTGTCATTCCAGTCGAGGTTGAGGTGCCAACATCCAGATACGGACTTATCACAGAGGAAGCAAACAACGCAGAATTGGTTCATGACCTTGACACTATCGACGAATTAAGAGAAAAAGCTAAAATCCAAATGGCAGCCTATCAGCAAAGGGTAGCAAGAAGCTACAACAAAGATGTCCGAGCCAAAGTATTCAAGAAAGGTGATTGGGTACTCCGTAAATCCTTCGGCAACGAAGCAAGTGGGAAGTTTAGTCCCAACTGGGAGGGCCCATATCAGATTACAGAGGTCGTCGGACAGGGGGCATACCGCTTGACAGACATCGACGGTAAGCAAGTGCCGAGGAGCTGGAATGCGGTACATCTGAAACTTTTTCATTTCTAATCGTTTGTGAATTTGTAAATATATTCATCACATTACCATCTTACTAACTTGACCGTCGGAGGGCCGTTGGCCTCGAGTCAACGGCCAAAGAAGTTTTTAACAAAGCTACAGATCGAAGACGTCAAGCTAACTCTTGCAAGGCAACATCACGCGAATTTCTGATGACAACATCAGCCCAGATAAGATCACCTATCCAGCATAAGCAAGGTACGCGACGACGGTTAGTTCTTTTTTCGTTTCATTATCACTCACCCACTTTGATAAGTAAGAGTACATCTGACTACTTGGAGATAGCACGCACCCACAATTGACATTAGACTATTCGTCTTTCTACTTATCATTCAAGATTGCTAACTTTAGCATCGGAGGGCCGTTGGCTTCAAGCCAGCGGCCAGCCACCGACAAATTTTTTGATTAAGTTGCAGACCGAAAGCAGCGTACAAATTGCCGAATGATGATGTGACGACTTCAAATCTAATTCAGGTCGACGGCATTACGTCAGCAGAGACCGCCCGGTCGGCGCAGATGACTTAACGAGGAGGCAGATAAATCATAGAGGTATACAACCTCGGTCGGCTCGTCCCTCACTTCAATGTTTCTTCATTAATACTATCACTTTGGCAAAACACAAAAACGCCTAATTTCCCTTGAAACATCAAGTGAAGAAAACATATTCTACTAGTAGCTTCACAAAGTTAAAGAGCATTTATCAATACATACTTACTGACTTTGACATCGGGAGTCATTGACTTGAAGTCAACGACCAAGATTGTTATATTAAATAGGCACAAATACTTTGACAACATACGCATGCCACCATCGTCGATAGCTGCCCACATCAATCAGCCCTTGTAATGACAACACAGTCTTCAATTACATCATGAGAAGACACTAAGGATTGCATGGGTTCATCATATAAGAAATATATATGAGTACCGAATCCATACACCTTTCACGTTTTGGCCAAAACAAAACTACAACGTACATCACAAAGTCACGCAACAACAGACTGTATACATTAGCACATTCTACACACTGATAACATCAGAAAGTCAGGCAAACACAGAACAGTAGACGAACAAGATCATACGTCACGAATACTGACGACATCAAAGTTAGATAAACACAAACGAAGGAAAGGTAATACCTACATAAATATACCAGCCAAAACATAATGGACAAGTCCTGGATAAACCACCAGACACTTGTATAAGTAATCAAGTATTCAGTCCACCGAACCACCGGATAAACCACCGGGCGATGTGGTTAGCACCAAAGCGTAACAAAAAAAAAAAAGAAATGTTCGAACGAACCAAAAGATACTTAAGCGTGATAACAATAGTTTGAGCATGGCAGAAAAGAATTAAGACTTGGGAGCCGACTCGGCCTCGGTATCGCAAGGTCCTAGATCGAAGTCGTCATCACCAATGGGGGGTTCTTCATCCGCAAAGTTGGCCTCCCAAGTATCTATATCTTCTTGAGGCCTCCAGCTGCTTGATTCACCAGCAAGGAATGACGCCATAAGATCCCTTCTTGTTTTCCAGGTGTAATACCCAGCTGCCTCAACAACTTCCTGCCTCTTCCTTCTGCCATATTCTTCTAAGGAGGCAATCCTGGCATCCTTAGCCGCCAGCATGCCGGATAGCTTATCAATTTTGCGAGCATGGGAAATGACCGTCCCCTCTAAGGATAGTTTGGCAGCACCAACTTCGGTCAGTTTCATCTTCGCCTCCTCTTCACTCTGTTTAGATTTTTGCAGTTCGTCAGCCAGCAGTTGGACGCGCTTAGCAGCCACCAAATTAGCCTGGACCACCTGAAATAAGTGATTACCATTAGGAAGTACGAAACCTAGGGTCACTAAGATACATTTTCATTAAGCAAACCTGGAAAGCAAATGCAGACGAGGCTGTCATAATTTCAATATCATTGAAGCCCGCAAAGGCATCAAGTGCGGAAGGGAGCAGAATCTGTGACATTTCGTTTTTCATTAATAAAGCATTGTCCAATCGGCAAAAGTTGGCAGAGAAACCAGCTTTGAGAGTTGTCTCTTGTGCACCATCTTTCAAGCTTGGAGCAACAACAGGAAGCGAACAAGTTGTCGCAGCAGTGGAAGGAGTCGCTGGGGGAAGCGGAGGCATCAACCTTCTCTTCTTGGATTTCAAATGCAAGAGTTCAGTAGGGTCAAGAGCCTTACGAACCCCTGATGAAGATGAAGTGCCTAAGTATCAAGGGGCATCAGAGCGCAACAAAGTAAGAAACAAAATCATAAGTAATGACAAATTGACCAAATGCTTACCAGCAGCCGATTTCAGATTAAGGTTGGGGGCGTTATGCATGGACGAAGCACATTCAATTACAGCAGGCAGGGTGAAAACGTCGTCGGTAACACTTGTAGTGTCGTCTTCGCCATTGTCAGTACTATCAATTGATACAACTGAGGCATCTTGAAACGAGCTAGGAGACTTAGATATGTTCCGGACAGAACGCCTCAATCCAACACGAATGGGACTTATAGAAGGGGAGTAAATAGCCATACCTCTGAATTCCTTTTTGAGATTCGAGTAAAGACGAGTCTCGGGGGACAAAGCCAAGAATGCATTGGTCCTCTCCTCAGAATGGGGACCAATTTCCATAGGGATCGTCTTCCCTTCTTTCTCTCCAGCCTTTGCTTCTTTACCTTTTGCTTTCACTTTCACTTCACCCACTACGAAAGCAAAAGAAAACAAAGAACAAGAAGGTACGCTCAGAAACAACTAATCAAAGTAGTGAAAGCAACTGAACGTGCTGGACAACAAGCATCAGAAGAATGGATAAACAACGAAGAACAACAGATTAAGATACATACCGGGTTCACCAACAAACCTCAGACGATCAGGGAAAGAGGATACATGTTCTCCCAAGGACGCCTTCTCCACAAAGAAGAATTTGGTAATCCAACCTCGGTCATTAGCACTGTTGATCCCCAGAATGATGGGGTCAGCACCAGCTTTGGTCACCAAAGTGAATCGTCCTCTTCCAGAGGTTCTCAGGTCGTATGTAAAACTCAAATCTTCCGCAGAGTATTGAAGGTTATACTTATCAACCAGGTACTCCAAGGAACGAAGAAGCCGCCAGGCTTGGGGCATGATTTGACAAGGAGAGATTTGGGCACGGATGATGAAATCCTTTACAAGATTAGAGAAGGGGAAGCGGACTCCGAGCTTTTCGAATGGGTACTGATAGAAGTTGAGCCATCCTGGAGAGACCCAGTCAACCCTTTCGCCACGGGCAGGGAATCGTATTTGTGCAGAAGGAGGAAATCCATAGGCGGACCGAATCTCTTCCAAATCTTTCGACCGCAGGTCAGCCGCCCTGAGATTCTTCGTCTCAAAGACGCCTTGGCTCCGGAAGACAGCAGGCTCCATGGCGAGAGGTATCAAGAGGTCAGATAGGAGACGAGTAAAGGGTAGGAGGATGTTAATGGAAGAAGATCAGAAGCGGAGGCTTTATCAGTCTGATAGAGACGAGACAGTCCCTCGGGCAGGGGGAAGCCGGTTGAGTATCCAAGACAGATTTAAATTCATGATGATGGCTTATCACACACGTTCAAACCCGCCAACATCATGAATGGGGGCAAATGTTGGGCCAGAGAAATGTCCCCTCAAACGGGCCCGTGGGTGTGACAAAATAAAGTGTTTCAAGCGGTCCAACAGAGAGTCGTAACCCTTCAACAAATTATGGAGAGATATTTGAAATTAGAGATAAGATTTGAGGAGAAGTCCAAGAACAAGTCAATAGGAGAGTGGCTGCACGTGGAGAGAAAGTAGGGAAGCAGTTGCTACACTTGGGGAGAAAGCCAATTCATTTGTTTAAATAGACTAGATGCATCCCTTTGTAAAACACGTTGCTACTATACGCATACTATCGATACTACACACATTATTCAATACTCTGTACTCAAAGCTATCGGCTAAACACAATAGCTTAATAATATACTACTTCGATTTAGCATTCATTGATTCTTATTGATTCCTGTTTGCTTGATTCCCAATATAACTTATAGATTAGATTATATTATTCCTTGTACAAACAAACATATTTAGCAAAATTAGGATGTTTTTGTTTGGACTGAAATTTGTTGGTCCGATATGATATATTTAAGTTTGATAAATGTTTGGGTCACCGGTCTGACGTGGTAAAGTATAATATTTGGGTGGTAAATTTCTTCAAATATTTGAGCGAAAAATTGGGTCGCCAGTCTGGCGTCAAGTCGTCAACAATGGAGGAGACTGACTACGTTAGAGTGAAAATGGGCTTATGTGGGATCCATATCCAAACAGAGAACTCAAGTAGAAACGCACTACAAAATAAGCATGCTTGCCGGCCTTCTGCCTGCCACAACCCAAAAGGGAAACCACGCCCACGGCTATGGTTATGACTCATGAATCCCCCATCCTAATCATTATCCAATTTAGAATTTACCACTTTTGCAAACCTTTTTTAGGGTTACCAGTAATTACCACTTGTAATAAAATAGTAATAATGCCAAATGTCCGCGTGTTGGTATTGAAAACGAAGATAGGGAATTTTTACGGTAGTATTAATTCTCACTTGTTCATTTGAATTTTTTGATGCATTTTTCATTTTCGACTTGATTGGGGTTTAGTTTTGGACTCGTAGGCTTTATTTTTCTTCGATATTATGTATATTTATATCATCATGTCATGTTGTTCTAGTTTGATTGGATACTTTTGAATCTAATCTTGATCTAATAGAATCTCATCTGATTTAGTTTAGGACATGATGCAATACTCCATTCGTCTCTTTAATTTTATCATTTTTCACGTTTTGATTGTACAATTCTTTTTTTGTCAATTTCTATTTTAATAATGGTGAGCGCTATCACACATCTGGCTGCCTTCTCCAATCTTCGACCGACGACGTTGGCGACGAGTCAAACGACAATGGCAGGTTGGGACGAAACTTCGGGTCTTCCTAATTTTCTAGCGGGCAACCCACGACAACCAATGATCGAAGAAGGAGATATAAAGCCTGTGAAATAACTTAATAAAGGAATGAAAATAAAAATAAAAGGAAAATGAAAGTCAAACAAAAACCAATGAAAAAATGACACGTGTCCAGATGACTGGCTAGATAGGTATAAACAGGTCATCAGTGCATTATGAGAAGGCTACCCTTATAAGTTAGATTATACTAGAATTACGCATACTTTAGATTAATATGAGAAGTGGTTAATAGTTGGGATTATTCTTGTGAATTTTTCCTTTTTATTTTATTATTATATTCTCCGAGAGACACACATAGGCACATAGCAATAATATAAGGTAGATTCTTTGGTACCCATAAGGTACCATACCTTTGTCCAAATGGACCAATGAGAGTGTAGCAGTTGAATTATTTAAATCTAAATTAAAAATGATAAAGTTATGTGATCCAATCAAATGAATGGCAGGTACGGTACCCCATTTTTTAGGAGGGTACTGAAGTTGTTCCATAATATAAATTAAAGCTAGTGTTCATATGCTCCCGCCAGTTAAGGACACAAACATGAAAGCCTACGTACTCCTTTTTCTCCTTCAACAGCACTGCCTCATCATCAAGGCTAGTTTCTTCCATACAAACAATAATAAAACCTCTGATAATGCCCACATTGGTTACCAGCTAACTGTGGCTATACCCACGGAATACAGCAGAGGGTTCGTGGGGAGGGCTTTTCTGATGGAAACTGCCGCCGCCGCCAAATCACCGCTAGCCAACTTTAGGGCTGCGGTCAGCGTTGAAGCGGTTGACGATGACAAGAAGTTATACACATGTTCACTTGATGTTTTTCTTGGTGAAGATGTGAAAGTATGGAGTTCTGGTCATCTCTCTCCCTTTTACGCCATGGGCAGTTGCACTCTTGAGCTAACACAGAATGGGGGTGACCTACAACTGAAGGGCGCTCGGAGAGGTGGCCGTGCGGCCATCGCCGCTGTTGGATGGCATGCTGGAACTTCTGGACAAGGCGTTCAGGTAATAAAGATGTTTTTACTTGGACTGTAATTTGTCCCAGATCAGACCAGACCAGACCAGACCAAATCAGACCAGATCAGACCAGACATGGGTAGTTATAAAAATACAAAGAAACCAGACCAGACTAGACCAGACTAGCAAATTACAGTCCAAGTAAAAACATCCTAAGACTGCAACGGTATATAGTTTAGAAATTGTCCTAAGACTAAAGTTTGCAATAGACTAATGCCTTAAATCATTCACAAATATGACTAAACATTGATTTCCTACTCTAAATACCCTAATATAGATACCTTTCCCACCGCCTCCTAGTACCACTACCACCATCTCCGATTGGTGAAAAAAATGTCATTTTCTGTGAAAATGTCAAAAAATGGCATCATTACTCTTGATAATGTAATGCCAAAATTTTCATTGAATGTGCTATTATTATGGCATTACTAAACATGTTGGCATTTTTTCTCTGGTGATCGAAGCTGATTGTGCTGGGGGTGGCAGAGGCGGCGTTTTTTTATTAGGCTTTTACTTTTTTTAATTTTTTTTTGAATTTTCATTTTATAAGTATTTTATTTTATTTTTTTAATTTTTTAACGTTTTTTTTATTATTCTTAGGGAAAAGGATCAGATAGGCTCTCGAACTTACATAAAAAGATCAAATAAGCCATTATATAGAAAGCTTTGTCCGGCCGTCACCATTTAGGGAGGTTCTCGATGTAATTTTTTAATCATCTTATTCATTAAATCTAGTTTACTCATACCAAATTTAAGCTAACAATTCAATCGGGATGCCATCACCTCATCGCGTCCAGTCCACTTAAAGGGTTTCCTTTCTTCCTCGTTTGGCGTATTTATAAGATCTATGATGAGTAGGTGTATCAGACCTTTTGAAAAAACAGATGACTTTAAAACGTTACATTTTTACCATCGCTTTATTTTCCTAATTATATTTTATTAATACAACATACCTAAAGTACCGAATATAATTAATCACAGGGTGTTTGTCAATCGGCTGTTGGCTGTTAGCTGTTGGCCGATTCTTTTAGCTGATTGATAACAACGGATTCTATTGGCTGTTTTGGTCAGCGCGCTGATAATGTTAACAGTTTATCAAATTGTATTTGGTTAAATGACTGTTTAGACTTGATAAATAACATTTAGGTACTCAATAAATATTTAATTAAAATAAGTAATAATTATTTCAATAAAAGAACTATATCGTTAAATAATTTAGATGAGTTCAATTTAGATGAAGCTCTTCAACGTCTGGCTCTTTCTTTGCAAAATAAAAAACTGAGAGATTGGTTGCTAGTTCAATCGTTGCAGCACCACATCTCTAGTAATCACATACAACTTTTGCATATATTTGGACGCTGATTGACGAGACTCCATTTAATTTGTTTAAACATGGGTTATTGAACAAATTGGCGTCCCCCATTTGTTTAACTAGGTTCGACTCACATAAATGAGCAAATTGACTTGTGCCCTTCGACGAAAGAAGATTCCGGACGGCAGGAGTTTTTTTTTATTGGGCGGAAGTTTTCTCTGCGTGGGGAAAATACAGCAACCTAGCGACGTGGGCAGTATAGGGAAGATACTCAAAACTCAAAAGCCAATACTAAACGCTATGTTTGATGGCTTTTCTAATTTTGGCTTTTTGGAACAAAAAACCAATTGAAAATGCTATTTAGGGCATGTTTGGCACAACTAGCTGAAAAGATACTTTTGTGAGCTTTTTAATAGCTGTTAACTTTTAGTGACTGAAAGGATCTTAAAAAGAAAAGGTGGTAGCTGTTTGATAAAAAGCTGACTGTTTGATTTAGTTCGGTTTGGTATACAAGCTGTTAGGATTAATTAATACTAAAAGTCACTAGCTTTTCTTAGATGCTACTCCCGGTAGCATCTCAAAAAAGATCTTTTAATTTTTGAAAAGCTCTTAAATATTGTCATGCCAAGCACATAACTAGAAGCTTTTAGGAATTTTTTGAACAGTACAAAAGCTAGAAGTCAGGGACTTATGCCCGCCAAACATAGCCTTAACCAAACATATTTATTGGCTGATTGATTTAGCCAAAAGGCTAACTTTGGTCAAATCATTCAAAAAATGGCTGATACGCTCTCAAAGGGCCCGACCGCCCGACCATAACCTCCGAGTCCTAAATGCTTTTGAAATGAGTCGCACTAAGGAATCATCAAGGCTTAAAGTACGTATTCACAATTTGAAATTAAGAAAAAGAAAAAAAAGAGATGCTACTCACACATATTAAAGAAATAAACTTATCAGGGGTAAGTTTTGACACTGTTTCAACACTGTCTGACACTGTTTGACACTGCTTTGCACTGTTTGGCACTGTTTTGATGTATATAACTTGTCATTTAAAGAAAAAAGAACTTCTTTTTGGGACTTCTAAAAAAGGAAAGCGGGAACTTCTTTGCGGGACGGAGGGAGTACATAGTACTACATATTGGAGATCTTTATTGCGCGAATGAGAGTAAGGGGGTGTTTGGATCTGATTCTTAAACTGCTTCTGCTCCCTGAAGGATCAGAACCAGAAGTTGGAGTGTTTGGGTGAAAGTTCAGAAGTGATTTTGGTGTTCTAATATACTCTCAAAATCAGTTTTTCACTACAAAAAAGTGCACATAGACTGCACATGGACAACAATTTTTTTTGCGATGGCAGCATAACTGTCGTTAAAAACACCATTAACCACACATTTTTTTATTTATCACACACAAAAATGTGGTAAAATCTTAGAGACGACAGTTTTTAACTGTGACCAATGTTTTTACCACAGCTGTTGTGCCGACGCACGTAAAAGTGTAAAACTGTCGCAAAACTATGTAAAAACGTAAGGAGGAACATTTACGACAGTTTTGCGTCAGTTTTACGTGCATCGCCATAACAGTCGTGTTATAAACATTGGCCACAATTAAAAATTGTCGTCTCTGACCTTTTACCACCGTTTTGTATGTGGTAAATAAAAAAATTTGTGGTTAATGGTGTTTTTAACAACAGTTATGCGGACCATCGCAAAAAAAAATTGGTCTATGTGTGGTCTATGTGCACTTTTCTTGTAGTGTTTTTAGAAGATGGGGAGAGACCAACTTCTAAAAATTGATTCGGAGTTTACTTCTGCTTTAAAAAAGAAGCAGAAGCAGAATCAGTTCCAAACACCCCCTAACCATTAGCAAATACGGAGTAAGTAATAGCAAATATTAGAAGTTTAATAAACACACAATTTACAAATTATTGAAAACACACAATCTCTCGCCGTCACATATCAAGTGGGGGCGAGTTTGTTTTTTCGGTTCGGTTTTACCCAAAATCAAGTCAGACCGACTTGTCACCCTCGAAACTACAACATACACCCTCACATACTATTTCGCTTTAATAGGAAAAATAACATGAAACCAGCCTCAGATCAACTCCAGTACAAAAAAGAAAACTTTCTTGAATTAAACTTCACCAACTTTTGATTACCCATTCTATTCTTGAGTAAATTCCTTAAATAAGACTAACATTGACAAAATGCGTAAATAGGACCATGATTATTTCCTTCCTAAAATATGACTCATTAAGGCCTAATTGATGAAATTTTGTTTTTTAATAGGTTCAAATAAGTAATATTTAGAGAATTGTAAACATATGGTCATATGCACTTTGATTAACTTTTAATCCTATTTAGAGCAATTACTATTTATTCTTTTATACATAACCTTTCACCTTTTGTTTTCTACGGAAGTGTAATATTTCTTCATTTTTGGTGGTATTAAAGGGGCTGTGTAACCGATAATACTACTCCGAGTATGTTTAAACGAACCACTAAAATAGAAAATACTCAGGCAGGTGATACCTTTCGGGCTGGACGCGCAGCAAGTTGGTTGTTTAGGTTTAGTTCGGTTTTTGTCACCCTGTTAGGTACCCAATTGCAGTTAAAGTGAGGATTGAAACCCTACTTGATCTCTACCTTATCTCTCGTTGTAGAACACAACTCACAATATTAATGACATTGAGTATATATATAATAAATATAAAACTCTACCTCGTTTCGTTGATTGTCCCATTTCCCCGTTTTGAACCGTCCCAATTGTCCCATTAAGATAGTTTCACATCAAATTTGGTAATATTTGTATGGTTCTAATTTTTTTCTGTTTTATTCTTACGTTATCACAATACCGATCAAATAAGTTCACTTTTCTTTAACAAGCGCAACATCTCCCCATGCATCAAATTTAGGAGTAGAGGTAGCATGTGATATATATGATGTATTTATACAGAAATTAAAGTTGCTACGCACAGGCAATCTAGTTTTGATGGATTCCAAGAACACCATAAAGTGGCAAAGCTTCAATTTCCCAACAAACACAATGTTGTGGGGTCAGAGACTAAGTCCAATGACTCGGTTGACATCTTTCCCAATTTCTAACTCATCTCCTTCATTTTATTATTCGCTGGAGATTCATGATGACAAACTTGCACTATATTTCAACTCAGGTAACTGGAAGTACTCTTATTGGGAGTACAAACCATCTAATAATCGAAACATCACATATGCCCGTCTCACATCACAAGGCCTAGAGATATACAATGGGGTCAACTGGAGAATGACTCAAATAACTTCAAAAACACCACAAGATCCTCCCAAATTCTTAGCACTAGCAGATGCTACAGGTATGAGTCAGTATTTAAGCCTATTTTGCAAAAAAAATAGTTTAGGCTCGTAATTTGAGTTTTCATTATGAGTCCTACAACTACACTCACATAGGGATGTGAGTACTTATTAAATTTATCCATATTCTGCATTAATGTTTTCTGAATACGGTGTTGTCGTGTGACTGAGAAGTCACGAGTTTAAATCTTAGGAGCAACTTCTTGTCAAAATGACAAGAGGAAGGCTTGCCACTTATACAACCTTATGGTGGGGCCCTTCCCTGTATCATGGCCTTGTGGGGACCCAAATGTGAAAGTAGCTGCATTTTTAAGGAATTTTCTGCCGAAATAATGTATTCTACATTCTTATTGTTGTTGGAAATTTTCCCGGTGCCGTTTTTGTTTGAAATATTACATTTCAGTGGAAAATTAAAGCATTCAATGTGGACAAGCATATGAATTAGATGTCATAATCTAAAAGTAAGTAAAATGACGAAACTAATACCGAACACCTTAAACTACTTTAAAAAACTAAGCAAGTCAATTAACTATTTTGTACAATATCTAGCTCATTAAATTAATGCATAATTGTAATTGATTATATATCCTAGTAATTGGTGAAATGATTGCAAATTTTTAATAGTGGCTCTTGTAATTATGTTCGGGTTCAGTTATGCATTCTCATGCAGAAATTGTACTTCAACAAGGAGTTTAATACTTGCGCATGAAATTTTACCAAAATTTTCTCCTAAACGTTTCATAACTCTCACAACAGGCAATTTGGGACTATATTATTACTCACCCCAGAAACAAGTGTTTGAAGCTTCATATGAGGCAATCAATAACACTTGTTATCTTCCATTTGCATGTAATAAGTCCTATGATATTTGCACTTCCTCCGGTGAATGTTCATGCATAAGGCTTGTCAAAAGAGGGCTCTCTGGTCTATATTGCTGCAATGAGGAGATGTTAGCCAGTGGGTCCTGCGATAAAAGTCGGTTGGGGATGCTCGAGTTACATGGTATCACAACTATACTAAATAGCAGTTCTAAAAAGGTCAACCTTACAAAAGCAGCATGTGCAGACTCATGTTTGAATAATTGTACATGTGTCGCGGCAATGTATGGAGATGATGTGAACCGAGAGGGTGAATGTTATTTTTATGGGCTAGTAAGAGGAGTTAAGCAAATGGGCGATGATAGAGAAAGAAAAATGAGCTATATGGTTAAGGTGCCAAAGGATGTTATTGATGATTGCCATGGAAAAGCTTGCCGTATAAACACATGGGTTTTAGTTGTGGCAGGCATAGTTGATGGACTTGTTATTTTGATTCTTTCTGTAGGAATTGGTTACTGTGTAGTCCAAAGGAGGAAAAACAACATACCTAACGTAGAAAATAATCAAAATATAAACTAGACTAGGTACCCTCAACCATCGAGAAACATTGTTTTATTGTTTAATGAATCCCATTTTGGATATATAAGTGAGTTAATTGAAAACAAGGGGTCACTTATAGTGATATGATAGATAATGGATGTCTGGATTACTAACAATGTCAAGATAAAAAAAGACGATGTGAATCCTATCTTTATTCATATATGTGTATTAGCAGGATAAGTGAGTTAGTGGCTCATAAAGATTTCATATTTACCCCTTAGCACCCTCCACTATTATTCAATTCATGAGCAAAAGTCATCAATTCACTTATTATTTGAAAATGCTAGTGTTTAGGCCGTGCGTTACCCAAGGTGATATTTGGACTTTCTAGTTTCTATATGTGACTTTATTGTATAACTATAAATGGTTCTTAATTTTGTGAAATAGGTAATAATGGGTAACGCTTTAATTTGTGAAAGCCCTTCTAAGATCTGAAGTATAAATTATACACATAATTCTATTTTGATTTAAACAACGCATCAATACTTCCTTACATTGTAATTAATCACACACATCATATTCTGCATTAGAATGAGAATTTAAAACTACAAAACATTTCTTAGTGTTATGATTGAGCATGCACATAAATTTCTCTAGATGTCTAAATATTATAAGAATAATACTACGCAATGAAAACTTAGGATGTTTTTACTTGGACTATAATTTGTTGGTCTGGTCTGGTCTGGTTTCTTTGTATTTTTAAAACTATCCAAGTCTGGTCAAGTCTCGTTTGGTCTGTTCTGATCTGGTTTGGTGGAACATATTACAGTCCAGGTAAAAACGTCCTTATGTTTAATGCAATAGATAATTTATTCTTCTAGAGTAATATGTGCATGACTTGTCATAATACATGAGATCATAGAACCAATTAAGAACATCCAATTGCTCCACTATACCAACGAATACTTTTTAGCTTGCCAAACAAAGTCAAAGATGACAAAGGTTTAACGGACTAAGATAGTATTAAATTTGAAAACATTACATATTTATAACTAAAATAAAGGTCATTTAAAAAATGTGACCCCATATGTAGTGTAGTGACTATAGTAGTAATTTTAGTCATAATAAATTATGTTCAGTTTTTACTACTTTTTTTAGTAGTAATTTTTAGTCATAAAAATTTACTAATAGTAAATTTAGTCATATTTTTATAAATAAATTTTATTTCAATAATACTACTTTAAAAACCCCATTAAATTTTCCTTTTGATGTGGCCGCGTGTTTGATGGTTCGCCGTTATGCCTTCATCCATCTGACCAATACACCGATAGACAATGTCTGGGTGGTATTTCTCCGTCATCTAGTGTATCATGATTGACAATCAAGATTGAAAAACTAGACGAACTTGAGGGCTGCTTTTTGAAGGTCAATCTCCTGGAAAGTTTTCATGTACATAATGTTAACAGAGTTCCCATTATCTACGAGAACTCTCTAGACAATTGTGTCAAGAACTTCCATCTTGACCACCAGCGCATCCCTATGAGGTGGAGGACACAGTGGCAGATCATTGTCGGTGAAGATAATGGATTCCCTCTTCTACTTTTTGTTAGCAGGAATGCGGTTGATTTCTCTAATGAAGAGTTGGCGATTCCACTTCTTTCTTTCCACTGCCGTGTCTCCGCCTACAGGTCCGCCGTAGATCTGGTTGACATGTGGGCGCTTCTGCCGACCTGAATATTCCCCTTCTTCATCATCCTCGAACTGGGCTCCAACCTCTCTCTTCTTGGAGGTTGAGGCTAGCTCGTCTTTTCCCTTGTTCCAGGTGTTCTTCTTCTGGGGATTCCGATTCTACCGGTGCTTCTTCACAAACTAGTCTAGTTGTCTCTCACGCGCAAGCTTTTCCACATATTTCTTCAGGATATAACAATCGTCAGTCTCATGGGTATCACTTTTATGAATCTTGCAAAATTTACCCTTAGAAGGTTGACTGTTGACGATGTTACAGCCTCAGAGATCGTGATCAATCTCTGCTTTGCTGCATAATCCAGGATTGTACTAACTGGAAATTCAGGCTGCCTGGACAATGGTTCTTCTTCTCCTCCTCCTCCTCCTCCTCCTCCTCCTCCTCCTCCCTTCAACAGGCTGGGATTTCCAAATTTCCTCTTCTCGGCTTCCTTTACCTCGGCTTGCGCATTTGCGCGTAGTAATGCTTCCTCGTGTGAGGTTGGGGTCTTACGTATAAAGTCTTCTACTTTAACTGACTCATATCTCCAGCGGACTAGGAAATCAACCAGGGTCTCTTGAGGTCCTGTTTGATCCCTAGGAGGTGAGATACGTTCTTTTTGGAATCCTTGGAAGTTGGCAAATTGTGCCACGAATGCATGTGCCAGTTCTCGAAAGTTCCTTATTCCCCATCCGGTAAAGAGTCGTATCATTCCCGGGTTGGATCATCCAGGGTTACCGAGAATCCTCTACACTTGATGGCATTATCGTACCCCATCATAATCATGTAAGCCACGTACCTGGAAACGTGATGCTGAGGGTTTGTTTTTCCTCGGTAGGCCTCAATGTTGCATGGCCTGTACCCTTGTGGCAACGGTGCCTCAATAATCTGGCGAGTGAATGGCTTGGGAATTCTTACATCATGATTGAGATCGGTTCTGCCATCCATCTCTCTCCTGACCTCGTCTAACCTCCTCTTGAGGTCGTCATTGTTATGACCGTCCTGGGTACGCAATGGAGATCAGCAATCCCTTCGGGCCTGCCTATTCGTGTTGATTTTGTCACAGAGATCTCCCCCACGCGCACTGCGGCGGTGGGACAAAACGGCAGCCGAAGATGCATCCTCACTATGCTCTGCCCTAGAGGAGAGCCTTTCATGAATAGAAACTCTTTGTTTGCTTATCCGATTCATCACAGGGATCCTTGGAGTCACCCTGGAGTGATGGGAGCGCACTGAGACCTGACCGGTTGAGAATTCCTTTGTTGTTGAAGAGAGAAGCCCTCATCTCGCTGAGCCATAGATGGAGCCTGACGAGGGGAAGGAGGTCTCTCATTAGGATCAGGAATGGTACCTTGGAAAGCTGTGGTCAAGGTCTCCACCGCCCTCTGGAAAGTCGCCAAACTTGCCAAAGCTTGCGCCGGATCTATTGTTGGGAATGTTGTGTCTGCTTCCCGGCGTATGGAATTGTGGTGGCCGCGCCACCATGCGCCTAGAACCTCCCATGCCTTGGAGTTGGTTTCTCAGATCGCTTTGAGCAGCGATATTATCGTTGCGCCTCCGAAAATCGCTTTGTCGTGACCTCGAACCTTTGTCCTCGATCACAACTTGGTTATAGCGATCTCCACCTTGATTGATACCAATATGGTGGTGGCTATTCGATCCAACTATCGTTTCTCGTAAATTCTTCTCTCAACGAGAGCACCCATTGATGGAGTTTAATCCAACTACGAGAGCTAAATCTACAAAAGATATGAAAAACATGGCAGTGTAAGGCAGTATTATTATTACTTAGGAGAACGACCGACCGATCCCTTGGTACGGTATTTACACGAATTATATATAAACTTTTATTAGGAGCTAGTATTCTTGGAGGAAATTGATACAATAAATGATATTTAATTACATTCTAATCGAATAGAACTCATGTAACGTCTTGGACGTTGTATAACGATCATCTCCTTTAAATCAACGTCTTCCCGATGAGTCCTGTCTACTGCCAAATAGCTATGCTTAAATGATAGCCTACCACGTAAACCCTAGGAATATCCCAACCTCACTAGAACTCCGATCCGTTCAGGCTCGAGGTCTGCTGTCCAGCCGGCATGATTGTGGGTTCCTATCGTGGGCCTGAGTCCTAACTGGGCCCAGCAGCTTATTTAATATGGCGAAATTGACAAGATTAATCCCTACTTTCACCAATTAAATAAAAATAATCCATACTTTAAAATGTTACAAGAGTAATCCAAACTTGCCACGAGGGCCAATCCGGCATAACAGAGTTGAAGTCACAAAAGACTACCACCCAAGGTTTTAGCACTGGATATAGTTGTAGGTTATTTGCTTCTAATTATCTTCCAAAGTTATTTTTATTTCTAGCAACCTCAGACAATTAATTCGAAGGTTCGTTCGTTAACATGTCAATTATAAGAAAAAGGTGCTTATTAGAGATGAAGTAAAAAAGAGTTCTAGGGCTACAAATTGCAGAACTTTTATCCACTAATTCCTTGTAAATAGAGAAGTAATAAAGACAAACTAATTCTTGATAAATTACCAAAAACAATCTGGTGCATATCTTCAATTGTCACAGAAGGCCATAGTTATGCAATTTTAGCCTTTTAGGTTTTTTGGGAGAGATAAAAACTAAGTGGATGGAGAAAAATTAGATCTGCTTTGGCAGATTCACGTAACTCAGAGTGGTGGTTTGGACGGAAGTCTAGATCCGTCCCATTTATTCTATTTCTGGCACACTGATAATGAGTTCAGATTATTATTATAAAATTTTAAAGTAGGGATTATTTTTGTTTAATTGATGAAAGTAAGGATTATTTATATCAATTTTGCCATTTAATATTTATCCCGATCAGGGCTTGATCCCGCTTATGGGCTAATCCTGTTAATTAGGCTAATCCCGTCATGGGCTATTCCTATTTATGGGCTAATCCTATTAATTAGGCTAATCCCATTAAGGGATGATACTGTTTATGGGCTGAGTTACATAATTGGGTCATGGTTGGAATCCATGATACCACCAGAACCGCTCTAAAAGCGAAATGAAACCAAATATAAATGGATTAATTTTGGTGCTATTTTTCCGAAACCGAAGAAATAAGCTAAAACGACCTCCTCTGTAATACAATATATGAAGTATAATATAAAATATGAGTTTGGTACCTAATATGTTTTGAGAAAATTACCCTTGGTATGACTAAAACTCATTCACTTTCTCAATCTATACTTCATTAGTTTTTTTCTCAAAATAATATTTAAGTTCGTAATACTTAATAAATAAATAAATTTATAGACTAATGCCCTTAGATTGTTATAATAAAACTCTAAACTGCAACTCATTTTCTCAAACCCGGACCACTAGTCGTTCGCCTGTAGTCTCCCGCTCAACCTGCACCCGCCTCACCCATTACCGGGGCCGTCCACATGTATACGCCTCG